ACTTAGTAGCTAATTCTTGATGAGGAAAAATGTCCTGACTGGTAACATTTGCCCATTTCTGTGGTGTAAATATCCCCAATTTCTCAGTTCCCAGCAACCACTGTAATGCTACTGAATACAGATACTGACACAGCATTAATGTCAGTAACCTTGAGGTCATAGATCATAATAAAATGCAGTAGGATAATTAAGAACCAATGAACCTCTGTTTTTAATAATTTTATTTAATAAGCTTACACAATTTAACACTTAATAGTAGCTGTATTTAACGGCCAGTTTATAAAGTTCCTGAAGTGAAGTGACTTGCCCTCCCAAGCCGGTATCATCAGCCTCGGTGCTGCAGCTGGCTCCACAGCAAGGCTGAAGGAAGTGGACAGAGGATGTGGCCAGTCTTCTCCAGATTAGGCCCACTCAGGCAAGGCCTCCAGGAGCCTGACAGCCCTACTGCAGCAACTGGCTGAAACCTAAAGGACACACTTCCTGACCACCCTACCATGTCCCATCCCACTTACCACCTGTAAGCTCCAGAGGCGTCTCCTCGAGCACCCCCAGACCAAAACCCTCTGAGAACTGTGGGGCACACACAGCTTTAAAGCACAAGCCGGCATGCAGTTTTCTGTAGTCCGCTGATTCAGAATCAAGACTTTACTGGCTTTTGTACCTGATCAGCCACTCGCCAATCCCAGTGACCTGGAACAGGTCATCCCACCACATGAGGGGCGAGTGTACAGGACCGGTTGTGTGACTTGACCAGTCTCTCTTCCAGTTCTGAGTTTCTCCTGTCTCCTGTGATTACTGGCGGCCTCACAAATAGTGTCAGCCCCCTGAGGAAGGCAGCTGAGACCAGAGAAATGTGACCTCCTTGGCTTCTCTCAGCTACAGAACGGGAGTGTTTCCAGCCAAATAGTGGAGTGGGCCTGTCTGTGGGATGCCAGGGTGTGCTCGCAGGAGCTGGCCCCTGGTCAGAGCTACATCACTACGCCTTCAGTTCTTGACTACAACCACTCTGACTTATCCCATTCTCTTCTAAGTGGCATCCCCAGGTGGTCCCTCATTTTGGGGGAACATGCCCACCTTTTGACTTAAAGCCTTAGAATTTAATAAGTCTCAGGTCTGCATATAGAGAAAGACTTAGGAGACCAACAAAAGAGGATTGTCAGTTTGAGACCAGCCCAAGCTCTATAGCAAGACACCCTTTCCCCAAAAGACAAGTGCCATCAAAGTCAATAAAGGGAAGAAGGAAGAAGAGGTAGGCCCACTGCGTTGGGAAACAGCCAGTTTAACCAGGGCTTGCATTGGTGTGACATTCCTGTGTGTGCATTTGTGTGTGTGTTACTGGAAGTACACTATGCAGCTGTGTGTTTTGTGTGTCAAGTTTTCTGTGACGTAAGGCTAGGGAAGACTGAAGGAGAGGAGGGTTGGCGGTGATGCCTGGTGGGTGTGTTTCATGTTTAGTTCAGTTTCATGAGTGCCATGTTCTCAACACCTAGAAAGTACTAGAAAAAAACAAGCCATGCCCGCTAGTGATGCACACCCCTTTAATCCCAGCACTTGAGAGACAGAGGCAGGCGGATCTCTGTGAGCTCAAGCCTACCCTGATGTACATACAGAATAAGTTCCAGGACAGGCAAAGCTACATAAAGAAACCCTGTCTCAAAACCTACTCCACCCGTCACAAAGCAAGCCAAAGATAAATTGTCGTCAGCAGCCTACCCTACCCGCATGGTGACTGTGACCGGGAAAGAAGATGCTGTGGCTACAGTTGCTTCATAGCTGAGTTAAGAAGGGCATTTACTTTTAAAGTTACCCTGACTTACTGACACCTTTGTCTTCTATTTTTATTTGTGAGATATTGATACATTTTAAACCAAAGAGAAAGTGCAGAGAACTCTCTCGTATTTTGGCCAGTTTCTACCTGACATGAAATATACCCTCTCCAGGCCCATTCCCATCAGCCACTCCCTGGGTGAGATTTCTGCTCACTCAAGTTCTTTTAGAACCAACTCAAAGAATGTGTCATTGAGCGAGGCTGACCAAGTACTAAGACACGGCACACCGTCGTTTTTTGTAGAATAGCAACTATGCGTCACTTGCTATATTCCAAGTGGATCGCCATATTCAGTCCTCACATAGACCTCTGCAGTAGGCTCCAGTCCACAATCCAGTGTGAATCTGCTGCAGGCCAGACAACAGGAATAGGAGCTGCCCTGCCCTTGGAGGCCCCGCCCACAGACAGTCAGCTCTTGCAACAGCCTAGACATGATACCTGCTGTCTCACAAGGACGATCATTTACAAAACTCTGGTATTCAGAGTACCAGACTTCCTATGAATATATACAGATAGTGATGTAAGGCAGGGCTTACAGCTATCACTTAAGAATATTGACATGTCAGCTTTGCAGGTTGCCAGTTAAACAAAGATCAAATTCTGTTGGGAGCAGCCTTGTTTATACTCTGAAGGCCTAAATCAGCCATAGGCCTAAGTCAGCCATACACGCCTGCTAACACAAAGTCTTGGTCTCTGTGAGAAAGCACTGGCCCTAGAATAGATAGCTATGGATCTTGTGGACGGATGGCCTTGGTGGAAAACTATCAGCCTGGATGAGAATAAGTAGTCATAGGTCTTGTGGATAGGTAGCCTTGGTGGATAGTACCAGCTTAGATAAGAACAAAAGAATCATAGACAGAGTCATAGTGAGCTGTTTCCTGCTTCTTCACCCAGGCAACACTCTGTTCTGGAAGATATCTGTACTCCCCCTGAGAACATCTGTGCTCCTGCATCATCCCCTACCCCACTTCCTGCCTCTATGTGTATATAACCCCTGTGTGAAAAAATTAAAATAGCCGTTTGATCAGACTATAGACAAGCCATGGTTCTCTGCATGCCCCTGTCCTCCAGTTCTCTCTTCCAGGTCTTCTGATCCAAGTTCAATGCCCCATGGGACTGGGACAAAATTCTCCCATAGAAAGAGAACAATGTATCTTTACTTGGAGCCGTTGCATGTTGAGCATCCCTCACCCCAAATGTTCCGAAATCTCTAAACTTCAGACCTTCCTATTAGCGATACTCAACTGATAGTGTTTATGCAAGTATTCTAAAATTCAGAACCCCTTTAAATCTTCTGGTCTCAAACACATCAGATAAGAGCTATCAAGCTTCAGTCACATTCTGCACAGAACAAGGCTACGGTTCAGAAGACTTATATTACTTTGTCTCAAGTCACACAGTCTGTAGCCCAGCAGGGTTTAACCCTGGCCCTTGTGACTCCAAATACCACCTTCCTAGCTAACGTACAAGTTATACCCTTTTTTTCTACCCATGAAATACTTATGTTTATCTTACCACATGAATTACCCACCACTGAGTACAATCGGTCTTCCTGGAAGAAGCTGTGTGGTTATATTATGGTTTTGTCCACTCCCCGGCACACAGCACACCCCAGTTTGAGACACTTAGCACTGGGCTAGTTAGTGGTTCTACTTGAAATAATAAAAGGAAACCACAGTCCATTGCCTTTTTCCCCCGAGCATCTATATTTTGAGTAGAAGTTTTGAGGGAGCCAGGAAAGCAGTTGAAGAACCGAAGAGCCAGCTTTTCACTTGAGAATGAGCCAGTTCGGGCTCCTGGGTGCAAACAGTCCTCACTGCACCAGGGTTCCCTCCTCAGTCACTGTTCCATAAGGATCCTCACCTTACAGCACTGAACCCAAGACCCTGGTCAGTGCGTAGCTCTGTTCCTGTACAGCTCAACGTAGAAAAGGCCATTTGTGTATCCGGATCTTGTTGCCTGGATCATTTAAGAAGTGGGCTATCTTTGTTCCAAATATAAAAGTAGGGATTTAAAGACCCCGGAATGGTACTGCTTGTTGTTTCATTGTGTGTGTAACTGACTCTAAGAAGCATCTGTTAACTTCCAAAATTTCACAGCATCGTGAAGAAAAACACCTAGGACTTGTGTAAGCAGCATGTTAAGCAGGTGTGGTGAGATGCCACAGTGAAGTACCATGTAGTTAGTTTACAGTGACTTCCATTGAACTGGTCAGACTGCAGCTGATGGGGGGACTTGAGAGGCACCTCTCGGCCTAGGTAGACATAAGTGTGTGTTATCACCTGTATGCTTTCATAGTCTGTAATCACTATGCTCATCGTGACAACGTCCAGAAATGGACAAAGTCTTCTGACAAAGTCTACCTGCCAATAATATAGAAAGTGTTTGGTTTTTAGGTAAAGACAACCATTTCCAGATTGCTGCACAGACTATAAGATGTTAGATTACATAAGAATAAGAGAACAGACATTGGGAAAATACCCTCAATGTCCAGACGAGCCACACAGGCCATAAGGCCTCCTTTCTGAGTAGGAAACTCAGAAGTTAAACAGGCCTGTGGACAGGGCGGGTTGATCCTCCTCACCCTGTTCTCAGGCCTCCTCTTGACTCTGCTTGGGCTGGTGAGCACAGGCATTCTGCAGCTGTTGGCCTAGCAGGGCTGGGCTGTGTGCTAAGACCTCAAGTAACCAGAAATTTCACTATGAGAGTCAGAGCAAAAAACATTTAAAGGGAACAGATAGACACGACTACAGCTCTTGAGCATCAGTCAGTAGTTTGAGCACTAAGTGCTACCACCCTTCATAAGAAGGAAGCTCCCAATTTGGGAATGCCCGGGGATTTAAGGATGGGCGGGTTTCCTCCAAGTGGGAGGAGAGAGAGAACCTCCCAAGAGAAAAGCTCTCTTGATACAGAAAGCCTCAGGGAAGGTACAAGGTTTCCTGGCAAAGATATGGCCCAATTTGGAGGAAACTCAAAAGCAACAAGCTGTAAGGTCGCTCCGTTACATAGGAAAAGGCAAGCTTTCGTGAGACTTGATGACCTACTGCCAGGCCCCGCCCCCTACCCCTCCCCTCCCCGCCCCGCCCCGCCCTCAAGGCAGAGCATCTATCAAACTCCACTGTCACGTGTCTTCTTCCAAGGCCTTGGCTAATCACTGCAACTCTCATTTCAGATTCATGACAGATGCTGCACGCCGGGAACAGGAATCCTTGAAGAAGAAGATCCAGCCGAAGCTTTCGCTAACCCTGTCCAGCTCGGTGTCTCGAGGGAATGTGTCCACTCCACCTCGCCACAGCAGCGGAAGCCTTACTCCCCCTGTGACCCCGCCCATCACTCCCTCCTCTTCATTCCGCAGCAGCACCCCAACAGGTGAGCCCCTTAGCTGAGGACTCAGAGACACAACGTGGATCCTTTAGTCACCCTTACGCTGTGTCTGGTCGTGTATTTGTTACCTGTAAGCCATTTAGGGTATGTGCCTGACTGTGTGATGTGTTTGTAGGTTTTTAAGACCTTAACATTATTGTGTGTGAACTGGCAACCTTGTTTAATCTGTTCATTTTTCTGCTTGGACAAGGGCGAGGCACCGGTTGATCCATACACAGTGGGGCACTGGGACATTTCTTATACTTGTTTCCCGCGTTTTGCTTATCCTTGAAATTTTTCTTAATTAAATGAGGAACAGAATCATATGCCTCCTACATGTTGGACACGTAGCTACAGAAGCAAGCAAGCCCCATCTCCATCGTAGACCTACCTGGTAGATGCCGGCGTCTCCCCAAGTGTGGCGATGAGTAAACACTGAAGTAGGGTCAGAGCTGAAGATACAAACACCAGCTTGATTCCTGCCTAAAGCGGACTGTGGGATGGGGGCTTGTGTGCCTGACAATTGAGTGTCTTAGCACATCTTTGCTGAGTGCATTTGTTGTCTGCAGCATCCTTCTGTCTCACCAGGTCAAGAGCATCTCAGAGAGCACTCAAGGCCCGGAGCTGCTCGTGTACTTCAAGGCAGGAGTGTGAAGCAGGGAATGGGGACTGGGAAGGTCCTTCTTTGTCTTATCTGAGAAGCAGATTCCCTCCTCTCCCATTGTAGGAACCCGGACTATCACTAATCAAAGAAGTACACATAAATACAGTGCTGTTATCATGAGTTGTGTCATCTAGAACTCAGTGACCTGAGCAGCTCCAGGTCAGCTGGCACCAGAAGAAGCTCATGGGAAGAGCAATGCAGTCATTAAAGGCATAGCTGGGGAGGAAGGTGTGTCACGGGAGAAGAGGGCAGGAAGTGTGTTTCACTGTACCATAGCCTCATGTGGGGGGCCCTGCATGCCCCACAGCAGGCAACACAGCCAGACAGAAGAAGAAGCTGAGGAGAGGCAGGGTCCAGGACACCATGGATCATGTTAGAGATTCTAAGAGATCCTAAGGTCGATCCTAAGAGAAAGATTACTCGGGATGGCACCAGCGCCCCTTTGGCATCGCCTCCCTGACTGAGACCTGCAGGTCCCATAGTCCCCTTGTTTCCTACCAGGGAAATGGCCAGAGTTTTACATCTCATTTATTAATTCACAAAATATTGGGGTAAGGGACTCCCCGGAGTCTGGAAAGATGCTAAGGTCAACAGAGTTAAAGGAGAGTCCTTAGTGTGGGGCTTAGTGTACAAGGCTACACCCTAAGGAAGACCCTGAAGAAGCCCCAGCTTTCCTGACTGAAATTAGGGGACTTTTCTGGAGGACTTTTATCTCATGATAGATGAACATCCTCAGTTCAGCCATGATTGAGCACTTCGAAGACAGGAAAGGTATAGCAACCCAGGGACTAGAATTTCTCTGAGCTTTTTATTCATAAATGCCATTACCCTAAGCAGGTCACAGAGTACTGGAGCTTACCAAATGTTAAAGGCTGGGTCAAAGGCTTGACATTGTTTCTACTTTTTGGGTCGTGGGGTATGGCCTCAGGAGGCCTTTGCATTCTATTTTGTGAACACTGGCTTTCAGAGTCTTCACGTGTTATCTACCATGTAAATCTGAAGAGTGGCAGACCTGGGTATGGAGAGTGCTGGGTCCTTTTCTCTGTGATCCCTATAGTAGTTATTCAGATGGGATATGAATTGTGGGAGCCAGCAGTCTCCAGCAGAATGTGTTTCATACTGGGGGTAATGTAGACTATGACTCATGGCCAACACCAGGTAAACAGGACTGCCCCAATTAGTAACAGCTCCCTGAGCCCTGTGAAAACCAGGACAGTTTGAAGTGAGAGTTTATTATTTTTCATGTAAGAATGTTTGCAAGCAATGGAATCATTTCTTTTTCTTTGGTCATAAAGAAATTTTTATGACACCCTGTCCATTTTAGCAATTTCCCACCAAAAGAATTAATTTATGTCGTGGGAAAGATGTATCCTTTTCAGTCTGTCAGGATCACCGTTAAGTTATTTGCTGCTCGAAGAACATTCTACATAAACATCAAAAATCAGCAGGGGAAATGGTTTCTTAAGCCCTTGGCCTGCACGGTTTTGGCTGTGGGTGTTTCCCCTGTTCTGAATGTTATTTTACCTGTAGTTAGGAGACCAGCCTTTCTGCTCGGCTCATATGCTTCTAGCCGTTTGCATTACCAGGTTATAAATAATATTCCACAGCTCCGCCTCCCAAGCCCACTCTTCCAGCTCCCACGTTCATTGTGCACTCCTGGGTTGGAAGTAGTGGTCACTTTGTAAACCATTTCATTTATAAATATTTTTAAGCTATGCTCTCTGAACAGCCTAGTTTTTCAATTGTTTTTTTTAGATGGTTTGGGCATTGACATTTGCTTTATAGTTTCTCAGGGAATCTGCCACCATGGGGACAGTGGGCATGGTGTGTCTCAGCAAGAGTGAACACTTCTGTTACACAGGCCCAAGTTGAAATTGTAGAGAGAGAGAAATATAAAGATGATGATTCAGCTCTCTGAAAACAAGGTGTCAGAATAATCCCATTGTTGTCCTTTAGAAATGGCAGTGCCAACAGTTCCTAAGGGGAGAGACAGATCACACTCATGTTTACTGTTCATGCTCACCGAGTTCTTTCTGTGTGGTTCTGTGCTCAGCACTCACCAGGCCCACGGAGTCGCCACTGCTGTCCCCACGTGTGGTGAAGGAGATCTGTGAGTGGCATTCTGCACTCCCATCCATGGCTGTCTTTTCAGAAATTGTGCTCTCTCTGGTTTGCCATGATGCCACAGTAACCAGTATTACACTGAGATCTTTAAAGCATCCGTTGCTGTTGTTGTTATTTTTAAGTCAGGGTCTTATCTAGGCTAGGCCAAACTCAATATGTAGCCAAGGCTGCCCTTGAATTCTTGATCCTCCTGCCTCTTCCCCCAGAGTGCTGGGATTATAAATGTACACCAGTGTTCCTTTGATATTGTTCCTGTAATGGCTGGTGTTCAGGAGTCTGGAAATTCTGCATTAGGACTTATTGTCTATGGCCCTCCTGAGATTTCTTTGCATTACATCGTGGGTGTGCGCTGTGTGCATTCGTGTGGGTGTGTGTTTGTGTGTATCAGAGGACAACTTTCAGGAGCCATTCTCTCTATTCTGTGGGTCCTGGGGATTGAACTTGGAGCGCCAGGTCAGGTGCAAGTGCCTAAGTGCCTTTACCTGTTGACCCATCTTGACAACTGTTGACCAACTTTTGATCTTTGTTTTGATTGAGGTATGAGTGTTTACAAACTGAAACTCCCTGTTTTGAGAGAATACAACACTCTCGGGAGGGCTTAAGAACCTCCATGCAGAAAGTTCTAGAAGAGTTGTTAAATGGCATCTGGACACAGGGCACTATCATCAGCTGTCGCAAACCTCGCCAGGATAACACAGGGAACCAGGTCAGAGGTCTCCGATGCACTGCTTTAGTGGCAGGGCCATGAACCAAAGTAGACTTGGGGTTTGTGTCAGCCTTGCCTTACACAGCAGACATCTCACAGCCATGCAGCTCAAAGGCAATAAAAGCAGAGGCTGTCCTCTGAAGCTGTTCTTACATTGTCTTTCACTGACCTTTTTAAAAAGACCGTCTTACCTCAGAGGTCACACAATTACTGCATACTATATTTTGGAGAATTATGAGGGGTATCTTGACAGATCTTATGATAGCCAAAGCCACCCTCAAACTCACTGTGTAGTTTAAGTCAACCTTAACTTCCTGATCCTCTTGCCTCAGCCTCCCAAATGCTGAGATCGCAGATGTGCACCTCCATGCCCAGCTGCTTAAAATTCTTATTAGACTTTCAGCTAGCAGGCCAGCCAGCCAGCCCAGTCAGCCAGCCAGCCCAGCCAGCCCAGCCAACCCAGCCAGCCAGCCAGCCAGCCAGCCAGCCCAGCCAGCCAGCCCAGCCAGCCAGCCAGCCAGCCAGCCCAGCCAGCCAGCTAGCCCAGCCAGCCATCTAACTTGATTCTGCCAGATTCAAAACACAAGGTATATAAAGGCACTGAAACTGCAGCTCACCCTCCCTGACCATCCCTCTCCCTACAGCACTCACCACCCACACCACTGGTTAGAGTCTAATGCGGTAAATCAAGGTTCTGTCTAAGGGTGAGCTGACTCCAGAGAACTAGGACTTGCACATTCATGATTACGAACAAGCCAGTTGTTAAAGTGACACTCAGAATTGGCCAGGCTGGTAGAGTTTATACAAATAAGCTTGTTAGGTGCGATGCGTCCTGACTTTACTGTCATATCTTTCAGTGTCTGAGTTCTCTGATCTGTTCTTAATTCACAGGGTCCTAGTCTAGATCGAATCTATAAAGAGACCTTAAACCTTCAGTGACCACCAGTTAATAAGGAGAAACCCGAGGTGTGCACAGCAGCCAATCACAGCAATGTCGTGGGTCCCCATCAATGGGATGGGAACGCCTTCACATTGCATTGTAAATTCAGGTAGTCAGTAAGATGGCTAATAGACTGGTATTACTGACTACTGAATTACAGAAACGTCTGTACTGTTTTAGTTTGCTTCCTATTCCTTATAGTAGGCTCTTTAATATTTCTTTATGGTGTTTTTACAGTAATTGTTCAAATGACAAAGATTTTTAAAATTTTTAAGTTTCTAAATCACAGCAAGTCATTTTTTAAAAGTACAATATTAGGCTAGTAAAATGGCTCAGCGGGTAAGGGTGCTTGTCACCCAGGTGGAAGACCTGTGTCCTATCCCAAATCCCACAGGATGGAAGGGAAGAACCACTTCTTGCAATTTGTCCTCTGACCTGCACACATACAGGATGACACATGCGACATCCCCCCACACATACACACAAGAGAAGAAACAAATGTACAGCAATTTTTTTAAAATAAGATATTAATTTTTCCTGAGGGTGAAAAAGGCTCTCTGATACAGACATGC